GTGTTCCCCTGGAGATGAAAACACAATAAGAATTGTAAGAAACCAGTTTTTGGGGGAGTCAAAAGAATGTTAATGAGACAACTGATTACGTCTTTTAAGAACTTTTATACAAAGAAGTTAAAAATAAAATACTAGGTCCAGTTGAAATATTTCACATGCCCACCCAAAAAACCCACCCCAAAACATAACATTGAGCTTTCAGAGGGGAAGCAGGGAGTGGGAAAGAAACTAATGAGAGGACAGCATGGAAACCACACTGAGGAAACAGAACTTTTAACCAACGATTATTAGAAAAACAACAGCAATCATTGATTAAACAAATTATGGTTCTAGGAAAAGGGACAGAAAACAGTCAGTCTTGGGAAGACTGCAATGCTGGGTAAGCTCTGAGCATTAGGAGTGACAGCTCTCATTTCCTATGCAATTAAGAGCTTCCTTCTTTGGGCCATCTGAGTCAGTTGACAATCACTTTTTTTTTTTTTTTTTTGAGATAGAGTCTTGCTCTGTCACCCAGGCTGGGTGCAGTGGTACCGTCTTGGCTCACTGCAACCTCCGCCTCCCAGGTTTAAGCAACTATCCTGCCTCAGCCTCCCGAGAAGCTGGGACTACAGGCACGTGCCACCACGCCCGGCTAATTTTTTGTATTTTTAGTAGAGACGGTGTTTCACCATGTTAGCCAGGGTGGTCTCGATCTCCTGACCTTGTGATCCACCTGCCTCGGCCTCCCAAAGTGCTGGGATTATAGGCGTGAGCCACTGTGCCCAGCCTGGCAATCACTTTTTGAGCACACATTATATGCTAAGCTCTGTGTTAGAAGTTGGGGCCATCACTCCTATGTATCTTTATAGAGACGTAAAGCATGCTGCCTTACACAAATGCCCAGGGAATGGTGAATGTAATAAGGTATAACAACAGCTAAAATTTATTGAGCACTTGCTATGTTTTAAACACTTTACAAGAGCTATAATCCACTATGAGAACAGAACTGTACAGTTTTGGTCACATTTGTAGCTCTATTACTTGGCACATACGTATTCAATAAACATAGTTTAAAAATCCTTCCAACAACTCTATGAGTAGGTATCATTACTCCCATTTTACAGATGAGAAGACTGAGGTCCAAAGAGATTAAGCACTTGTTTGGTGTCACAGTTAGGAAGCTATGGGACAAGGATTTGAACCCAGGAAACCCTGCAAAAGACTCCACAATGCTGCCCCTTGATAAGTACATGAGTAATGAAAATGCAAGATGAAAGTAGAAAGCACTTCGAGGGAGATTCAAACAAACTGCCTTAGAAGTTCTAACCTCTGGCAAGGAAAGGGGACAGTGAGAAGGGGAGGATCCTTGGAAGAGATGGCATTTGAGTTGGGTCTTAAAATGTGGATGAGATCTCCTCAAAGGAGTACAAGGGGAAGCATCTTCAAGATGAAGGAATGTCAGGAACCAGCACTCAGAATTGGACAAGTGAAAGGTGTATTTGGAGACTTTTACACTTCCAGTTTGCTGGGGAAGTAGCCCTCCTCCATGGCAGCAGCAGGAGATTATCTGGAGTGGGTTGGAAGTGGTAAGGAGCAGGGCTTCTCATGCTGTCACTGAACAAGGATTGACTGGTGATTCAGCAGGTCCATGGTGTGGCCCCTGGTGATGCCAAGGCAGCTGGCTTTGGACCACACTTGGAGCAGCTGGGTTCTAGAGGGCCTTGCTTTTCTGGCTCAAGGGTGTAGATTTTATTTGGTAAGCGTAGGACTGCAGAGATGGAGTTTAAGCAGGAAAATAAGGCTTTAGAAAGACGAGCTGGTGATAGTGGTATAAGATGCCCTGGAGAAAGTTGGGCTTTGGTTTCTTTAGCTCCTAACTTATAACTCTCAAAGTTCAGAATACTGATTCAGTTAGGGTCCACACAGGAAAACAAAGACCAAAGAGATGATTAACAGATATCAGCCAGGCACGGTGGCTCATGCCTGTAATCCCAGCACTTTGGGAGGCCGAGGCGGGTGGATTACGAGGTCAAGAGATCGAGACCACCCTGGTCAACATGGTGAAACCCCGTCTCTACTAAAAATACAAAAAAATTAGCTGGGCATGGTGGCGCTTGCCTGTAATCCCAGTTACTCAGGAGGCTGAGGCAGGAGAATTGCCTGAACCCAGGAGGCGGAGGTTGCGATGAGCCGAGATCGCGCCATTGCACTCCAGCTTGGGTAACAACAGCGAAACTCCGTCTCAAAAAAAAAAAAAAAAAAAATAACAGATATCATTTAGCCCTTGACTTTGGATTGTCACTTATTCACCAGAGCTGCCTAGAAAATGTTCTTTCCCCCTCCTTCAAGACCAGCCAGAAGCAAAATATGTCCTTAGTTTCTAGTGGTTAGAAAAAGAGAGAAAATGTTGCTTTGACCTTGAGCTATTCTGATGGGTCTGTTCAGGTTCAAACTGGGCCCATCACCATGTTCACTCCGGATCACTTTTTCATGATTGGCAGATCTGCTTGGGGAATGAAAAATGCTGCTAATATCAGCCTGAAAAAATATCAGGAAATTAAATCTGTGGCTTAAATCCCACACTGCTTTCTGGCTCTGGTCTGTCTCCTAACTGGGATCTCTTCCTTCCGGCCTCCTCCCCCTCCTCTGGTTCTCCCACCCTCTCTCTTCCCTCCCACAGCTTCCCCTCCTCCCCTCTTCTCTTTCTTATCCTATAGAGCCTCTGGCCTGCTTTTTTTCTTCTCTCTGGGCTCCTCCCTGGTGGCTTCAGGCTTCTCTTCCTGTCTCTAGGCTTCCAGCTTTTCCCCAGCTCCACGGAAGCATCTGCCTGTTTCTCTTTCACTTCCCATCAGGGAGTCCTAAATGCTGAATAGGCCCTTCAGACCAGGCCCTGAAGGGGACTTGGCTGGGGCAGTGGGGGGTGGGGGGTGCTGGGGACCTGCTGAGGCTATATACAGAAGCCTATTGATAAGCAGTCCTTCCACACAGACAACCCTGTCCAGTCTCCGTGGCTCCAGTGGAGAGCGGCGACCCTTGAGGTGGTGGCCAACATCCCGGCCACCATGAATGACCTCAGTGTCTTTGGTGGGCAGGGGGACCTTCTCTCTGGAGCCTCCAAATCCTTCAGACCAATCAATCCCACCATGGGTGTGAATATATTCATCTTGAAAATAATTTGTCAGTACATCTCCATCAGTGGTGCTGATTTCATTAATTGGAAGAATTAGCTCTTTGTGGCCAATGAAAGAATATGGAGCCAAAACACACGGAATACTTTTCCCCAGTGACCCAGAGACCCTTGGACGAACTCCTGGGTGCCATGAAAATGGATCGTTTAGCAGAAAGAATACCATTGGATGTTTATTTAACATCACTCCCCATTCCCCCAAAAAGACCTTCGAAATGCTCTCACATCTGGCTGCTTTTCTTCCCTCACTTTTTTGTGCAGAGCCAGGGCAGGGAGGAAACTTCATCAGTCTGAAAACATCCAGCAGCAAAGTGTAAATTAAATGTGCAGAGAGGCCAGGGGAGGGGGAGCCTTACATCCTGGGGATGGAGTAAAAGACTGAGTCCTCACCCCGACTCCATACAGGCGAGCTGGTTTTTACCTGGTGTCTCCCATTAGGAGCTGTGTGACCTTAGGCAAGACAATTAACCTTTCTGAGCCTCAGTTTCCTTCTAGTAAAATCGGAAAATAAGCACATATTGGAGGGCAAAAGGGAATAAAGTATGTAGAGTGTATGGCACATGGACACTGGATTGATGGTAGCTACTACTGTGGTTGCTGGGATCAAAACCAGAAGAGAGTCCCAACTGTTTCCATGCCTCAGAGACTCACCATTGCTGGCCCCATTCGGGCAGACAGATGGGCAAAAGTAAGTCCTATGGGATGAGACAGATGGACAGAAAAGGGTGATCAAGGGGATCATATGGAATGACAGGCCAATGGGGAAACAGGCAGATGGAACATCTCATGGGGAAGGCAGATTGATGACAACCCAGAGGAGACCCTGAGAGACAGCGTCCCACGGGAAGGACAGATGGATGAGGATCCAACAGGGGAGACAGACATGACAGACCAAAGAGGAAGACAGATGGACGGTGATTTCATATGGGGAGTGAGCAACCCTGTGACTGGGGGGAACAGATGGACAGCACGCTGACGATGGAGCCCGGGCTTCCTGTTTAGTCTCTGTTCCTCAGGCCTGGACATCCCTGAATTCATAAGAACCTTGGGGCTCTGTGAGGATGAGAGAGAGAGAGAAAGAACGAGAGAGAAAGGACTTCACATGGCCTGAGAAGACATGAGGCACCAGGGTTAGTCTGGCCTCTGTTCCTCCCTCCTCCCACGGCCCCTCCCTGGGTGGCCCCATAGATAAAGGCTCAGCCATGATGATGATGAGGAGGAGGAAGAGGAGGAGGGACAAGAACTGCTTTTGGAAAGAAAGGGAAAATAAAAACTAGCTAAAAGTTTTATTTATTTAAAATAAAGGCTCAGTTATGCTTGACTGTAAACATGCAGGCCCATCCCTCCCTCCCTGGCTCTTCTTGTGGCAGAGGGCTTGGACCACACAGCGTGCTGGGGGCAGGAGGCAGAGAGAAGGCCAGTGTAGGCGGGGGTGGGGGGGGTTGGGGGGAAGGGGTGGGACTAGGGTGCCCCAGGTGTGGGGAGGGGAGAGGGGCTGTGGAAGTCAGTGACCTGCTGAGCACAGCTGGGCTGGGCTGGCTAGACCCTCTGGCCCTGGCTCCCAGTCCGTCAGCATACACCACCAACAGTCCATACAGCTTCAGCCCCACCTGCAGCACATGTGCGCCACAACATGGGGATGCCAGGGACAGACAGACAGACACACACACACACACACACACAGGTGTGCAGGCCTTTCTCCCAACTCTGTCTCCATCTCTTTGTCATAGCTAGCACAGTGGGGTCCTTGGGGATGTGGGCACATCTCCAGCTGTGAGTCACACCTTCTGTTTAAACTAGAAATCCTACCTGCCTTTTGTCCTCTTTCTTGCAGGTTCCACCTGAATTCCTTCCATGCTTTTCAGCGACTGAACCGTTTGGGTGGCCTGGAAGATCTTGTGAGCTCCCTAGAGAGAGGAGAGACAGTGTGGATGGAGAAGAATCTGGAGGAGAGAGAAGTCTGGGGACCCTGCCTTTCAAGTCTTTTGTGTGAGGGCTGCGTTGGTGGCCTCACTAGCCAGGGAAGGGCTATGGTATGCAGGGTCAGGCGGGAATAAGCAGGAAATGTTTGTGATAAGAGGCTTTGCCTCATTCAAACTCCTCCTGTTTCCAGACCCAGCTGCAGGATAAGGGCCCATGAACTGAGCAGGGAGCCTTGGAGGAGGCTGCTGCCAGAGCTAGACTTTGGGATTGCAGCAGGAAGAGTTGGAATCGGAGGCCCCTGGGGGCCCTGAAGTCCATGCCCGGGGATAGAAACGACCCTGGGAACCCAGCCAGGGCTGTCTTCCTTTGGGATCAGGAATTTCAATCATACTTCAGAGGGCCAAATCAATCCCTTAAGAAAAATAAAAGAAAACAAACCCAGGATTTGTTAATCCAAGTTGCTGAGAGGGTGGAGCAGGTGGGAACCATAGCCTTGACCCCCCAGGGGATTTCATGCCCTGGATTGGTCCCAGTTGGAGCCATTCACTAATATTGACCAGTAGAAATGGAAAATGGAAGGGTGTACTGACAAAGACAGTACTGGAAGCTCTGAGAAGGAATCCATCCCAAGGGGATCGTCTGCTGGGGATAAATAGAGTCATCGAACATGTGTCATGCAGGCATTTGCAAAGCTTGGTGCCCCTTAGATTTCCAGTGTCTCCTCTTTGTCCAAGGCCCAGTGACTGCACCATCTGTGGTTGACTTGGCCAGCTCACAAAAGAGCGGGATGTGCTGCACAGAAACACCCCATGAGTGGGAGTGAGGCTGCAGGCCACTTGCTGTTGTACCAGTCCCCCTTCTTAAGGATTAGCAGCTTCTGTCTATCCCTAGAGGCTGCACTGTAAATGCCTGTGTAATGCTAATTTGTGGTTGGCAGGAGATGGATTGGGAAGGAGCAGAACAATGGCAAGAGGAGGCTGAACTCCCTCCTCCCCCTAGTGTAATGGTATGTGTCTTCTAGCAGAAATGTAGCAACAAGCCCATAGAGAAGCTGATTATTCAGACAGGATGAAGATTTACTCACCGATGCCCAGAATCTGAAAGGCAAGTCTGGAGTGGAGAGATGTGCTATGAAGCACAAATCCAGGTAGATATTTTGATGGGAGTAAGTGACACCCCATCACTTTTACCATATTCTTTTCATTAGAACCAAGTCCTTAGGTCCAGCCCACGCTTAGAGGAAGGGATTACATGGGAGGCAAGAATCACTGAGAGCCATTTCGGAAGCTGCCTACACTTCGTAAAACCCTTAAAAAGCTCCCGGCCAAGGGCCTGGCACAGAGCAAGTGCTCAAGGAATTGTTACTTGGACCGATGCCTCATCTAGGAGGTGAGCGAGGTTGTCCCACAGTGGCCTAGGTCTCTGCGGTTCCATCTTGATTCCTGTTGGTACTGCTGGGTTTTCTCCAAAGGCTTTTCCCTCTGACACTGTGAGGTTGTGACTGGGCTCTCTGGGTGAGGCCGGCAGAGAGGATAGAGAGGATAGATGCTAACTTACACTCCTGCTGTCTTCCAAACAGCCTCCTCATGACCATGTGTGGTCTTGCTTTGTGGTCAGTGTACAGATATTTTAATTTCCTGCTCACCTGCTCAGAGGAGGATCTGATTTCTCCTTGCATTTATTTTTCTCTCTGGCAGCCTGTGGACAGGTATTTCTGTCTGACCATCTGGTAGCCATTCACCTTTATGGTGGCTTGAGAAAGGAATCAATTTCACTTGTTTCTTTAGTAATATCTGCCTCTTTTGACAGCAAGTTACCTTTATCACCTCTTAAAATTCTTACTATGTTGGACCTTCTGGTACCTTGGGGGCTCTTTCAATCCCTGACTTTGTACAACTGCATCTCCCTCTTTGGTTTAGCTTCTCACGCCTTTCTTTTTGTACCGTGGTTTAATACATTCCATATAAACTTCTAAGTCTGCTGGTACCTCTCCCCACCCACTGCCTGCTGAGAGGGACAGATTCTTCCTGACTAGATCAAGTCTAAAACAATCAGAAAACAATCAACTGAAAGAGAAAAGCTGACCTCTGCCCTCATCCTTCCCCTCTGCAGACATCTTGAGGCCTTTTGTCTAATTGTGGTGGGTTATTTGGGGAGGGCAAGAAATGGGAAAGACAGAGCAAATTTCTGGGCAAGAATGAGGTGGGAGGTGGAGCTTCCTCCTCTTGCTCTGGTTTTGTATCCAGGGTGTTTCCAGGGCCTACCGCCTCTTCCGAGACTGCTAGAAGGTGAGGAGCCATGGATTGGTATCCTAATAACAGATGGGACATCAGAGGCCTCTGGTAAGAAGTGTAAGCTCAGCTCACCGTGCTCTGTTGTGTTTTTGTTGGAAGAAGTATTGAAAAAAGGAGTGATCATGCACTGGCCTATCTAGCCATAGAATACGAACACTTAGGGTGAGTGGCAGGGAACACCTTTTCTGAAAATGATGCTACATGGAATGGATGATTAATTCCCTGGTTAAAATGATGCCAGACTGTCTTTCAGAATCTTAAAACTCCTCCCAGTCTCCTCCACATACTAGTTACTAATTGGATAATGAATACGGTCACCATTGTAGGGCGTGTTGCTCCAGTGTGGTGGTCGAGAGTGTGCACTCCTGTTTACAACAGCAAAGACGTGGAACCAACCCAAATGCCCGCCAACAATAGACTGGATAAAGAAAATGTGGTACATATACACCATGGAATACTATGCAGCCGTAACAAGGAATGTTGCAGGGACATGGAAGCTGGAAGCCATCATCCTCAGCAAACTAACACAGGAACAGAAAACCGAACACGGCATGTTCTCACTCATAAGTGGAAGCTGAGCAATGAGATCACATGGACACAGGGAGGGGAACATCACACACCGAGGCCTGTCTGGTGTGGGGAAGGGAGGGAGAGCATCAGGACAAACAGCTAATGCATGTAGGGTTAAAACCTAGACAATGGGTTGATGGGTGCAGCAAACCACCATGACACAGGTTTACCTATGTAACAAACCTGTGCCGTCTGCACACGTATCCCAGAGCTTAAAAATGTAAAAAAATTACACTGAAAAAAAGTGTGCACTTTGGTTAGATAGGCTTTGGTTTAGATCCCAGCTCCTTTACTTACTAGCTATGTAACCTTAGCTATCCTCTCAAAAATGTCCATTTTCTCACCTGTAAAATGGGTATGTGAGCGTTTCTGTTCTCATAAGATTGTTATAAGAGTTACACAAAGTAATAAATAAGAGACAATAAATGCATATAGAGTCTAGTGAGTAGTAAACCCTCAAAGTCTATTATGTCTTATGATCTCTGTCCCTAAGACCTTCCAGCAGCTGAAGCCTCAGATTTTGCAGCTTACCATCTCTGCTGTACATCTTACTTAATGGGTGCTGTTCCTGTCTTCCCCCTCCCTTAAATGTTGAGCTGCCACAGTAATTGCATTGGTGTACCCTCACCCCAATCCCCCTCCTAGACATTCTGTCCCTGGAACCTTGGCCCTGCTCCTCGAACCCCCTCTCTACACTTTTCTCTGAGTGGGAGTGTGAGTCAGTCTCCAAGTCCAGTCTGCATAGCTTTGTGGAGTGTCCCCTGGGAGCTGAGGGACGGTCCGGCTGGGAGGTCTTGCTCCTTATCATGGATGACCTCGTTGTGAACCTTTCTGAGGCAGTGGGGAGAAATGTAAAACATTCAGACAAGTTGTTATTTGTCATCCCTCTTGCCCACCCCTAAAAAGTTAACGGCATTTAACTCCCTCTCTAAAACACAGAGTTTAGTCAAAACGCTTTTTGTCTGTAGACATAGAGTGAACATTTAATTTGGCTCTGGGAGCTGTGCTGAAGAAACCACTCGGGAGGCCAGAGGGGATGTCTGTGGTGGGTCAGATCTCTCGGTGTGAGAGCGGGTTAGACTCGGAGACAGGGAGGAGTCAGTGTGGTCCGAGGCTCCACGGTGATCCAGAGCTGTGTCCATAGCTGCCCCAGGACAGAAGCTTCCTTGGTTTCTGCAGGACACCCTGGCAAAGCAGTACCCCAAGAACAGCGTGTCGTCTTTTTCGTTTGGAAACTGAGCCAGTGGTCTCCCCAGTAGCAGGACTTTCCCATTCTGTCCTCTCTGAGCCCCATCTCAGGAGCTTTTTGGCATGGATATCCAGGCCTGGGATGGGTAGTTTTTTCAGAGAAGATGAATCATCTGCATATTTTCTCCAAAGGGAATTGGGCTTTCGAAACCCAAATCTCTCATGTGATGTAAATAGTGAAGCTGAAGGCTGGGATGCTAGGGTGTTAGGGAGGTTGGCTATGCCGGGGAAGCAGGATTGCTGAGTCAGTGGATGGAGGCAGATTTTGATGAGTGTTGCAAATTGCTGGTTTGGCGTGGAACATGAAATGGCTTTGTACCAACTCACTGGTGGGGAAAAAAGGGCTGGCACCAACAGAGACCCTAACTGGTTTAGGCAGAGTGATGGTGTCTGTGAGCTTCTTCTCAGAGACTAGAGAGCTTGTGGGGTGTTACAAAGGCTTTCCAAAGAGGGTGGAACTGATAAACTGTTTCCTAAAGCAAGGAGGAGGGTCATTCTTCTGTCTTACTTATCACTGTCCTGACCATTGGAGTGGGTAAGCATATTTCTTAGAGACGATAATGGAAGTGAGGGGTTGGGGGAGGGAGGTGATCTTGAGGAGCGTAGGAGAAATGGAGTTAAGACATTTTTCCTTTCTGATTCTTCTAGAAGAGGACAAAATTGACTGGTTGGTGGATGAATGCTCCTCTTTGTATGGAGGCTGCATGTAGAAGGTGCTGCAAACTCTGCAAGCTGGTTAGTTAATGTGGAAGCTGAAACCCACCTTGGGAAACTGACCGTTGGCCATTGTCTTGCTTTTGCCTGGGTTGCTCCCTTGTTTCTCTGTAAGTTTATAACAAAGGATTAAGGCTGAACAGATCTCTGCAGTTACAATTATTCATACCAGAAGATCCTGCTAACCTCTTTGTGATTTGAGCAGCTGGATGAGATTCCCGATTTCCATAATCTGTACCTGGAGGCTTATACGGGAGAGGATCCTTGGGGCAAACTTGAACCCACAAGTGGGGATGGTGCGTCAGGGGCCATGGAAAGAACTTCCTGCTGCAGTTGGAGACAGCCTTCCGTGTGGGTGAGGGGGGACATAATCCCTTTTATCCTGGCTTTGGTTTGCTTGATTACCTCTTTAGCAGTGCAATTCGTGACTGCAACAGGTGTCAGATTTTGTAAAGGCAGAGGCTGAGAGCTGGCCAAGACCCTTTGTCATTCTTGACCTGTGAGGCTGGACCTTTGAAACCATGATGTCTGAATCCCAATTGTAGTCGCTTGTTCTAGGGATGGGACATAAGACATTGTGTTGATTTCTGACAAAAGTCCATGAACCAGTCAGAAGGGGCAGCCTCTTCTTCCAAATCCAGAAAAGAAGCTACGATGAAAGAACTGGGATGGGTAGAATGGGTGTGAGTGATGGTGGCTTGTCACTGTCTTAGAAAATCATCTTATATTTTTGTAAATCACAGGAAGTGAAAGAGAAGAAACAGCTGGGTTCTTTTCACCACCTTAGCATGTATTTTATCCTGCAATAACACACTACACTTTGAGAAGTATAGAAATGTGGGCAGGGCAAT